ACACCAATCAAACGTAGATTTGGTCTTTTCACATAGTCCCAAATTTCTTGGAGGCTTTGTTTGTTTCTTTTTACTCTTTTTTTCTAACTTTGTCTTCTTACTTTATTTCATTAATTTGATCTTCAGTCACAGATACCCTTTCTTCCACTTGAATGAATAGGCTACTGAAGCTTGTGCATGTGTAACATAGTTCTCGTGCCATGGTTTTCAGCTCCATCAGGTCATTTAAGGTCTTCTCCATGCTGTTTATTCTAGTTAGCCATTCATCTAATCTTTTTTCAATGTTTTTAACTTTCTTGCGATGGGTTTGAACATGCTCCTTTAGCTCAGAGAAGTTTGTTATTACCAACCTTCTGAAGCCTACTTCTGTCAACTTGTCAAAGTCATTCTCCGTCCAACTTTGTTCCGTTGCTGGTGAGGGGCTACAATCCTTTGGAGGAGAAGAGGCACCCTGGTTTTCAGAATTTTCAGCTTTTCTTCTCTGGTTTCTCCCCATATTTGTGATTTTATCTACCTTTGGTCTTTGATGATGGTGACCTACAGATGGGGTTTTGGTGTGGATGTCCTTTTTGTTGATGTTGATGCTATTCCTTTCTGTTTGTTCATTTTCCTTCTAACAGTCAGGACCCTCAGCTGCAGGTCTGTTGGAGTTTGCTGGAGGTCCACTCCAGACCCTGTTTGCCTGGGTATCACCAGCGGGAGCTGTAGAACAGCAAATATTGCAGAACAGCAAATATTGCTGCCTGATCCTTCCTCTGGCAGCTTCATCTCACAGGGGCACCCAGCTGTATGAGGTGTTAGTTGGCCCCTACTGGGGAGGTGTCTCCCATTTAGGCTACTTGGGGGTTAGGGACCCACTTGAGGAGGCATTCTGTCCGTTCTCAGAGCTCAAACTCCATCCTGGGAGAGACACTGCTCTCTTCAGAGCTGTCAGAGAGGGACGTTTAAGTCTGCAGAAGTTTCTGCTGCCTTTTGTTCAGCTAAGCCCTGCCCCCAGAGGTGAAGTCAACAAAGGCAGATAGGCCTCGTTGAGCTGTGGTGGGCTCCACCCAGTTTGAGTTTCCTGGCTGCTGTGTTTACCTAGTCAAACCTCAGCAATGATGGACTCCCCTCCCCCAGCCTGGCTGCCGCCTGACAGTTCAATCTCAGACTGCTGCACTAGCAGTGATCTATGCTTTGTGGGCATGGGACCCACAGAGCCAGGTGTGGGATATAATCTCCTGGTGTGCCTCTTGTGAAGACCACTGGAAAAGCATAGTGTTAGGGCGGGAGTGTCCCGATATTCCAGGTACTGTCTCTCATGGCTTCCCTTGGTTAGGAAAGGGAAATCCCCTGACCCTTTTCACTTCCCAGGTGAGGCAATGCCCTGCCCTGCTTTGGCTTACACTCCGTGGGCTGCACCCACTGTCCAACCAGTCCCAGTGAGATGAACCACATACCTCGGTTGGAAATGCAGAAATCACCCATCTTCTGCGTCGATCACGCTGGGAGCTGTAGACCTGAGCTGTTCCTCTTTGGCCGTCTTGGAACGATCCACGTGCCACATTTTCTTTATCCAGTCTATCCTTGATGGACATTTGGGTTGGTTCCAAGTCTTTGCTATGGTAAACAGTGCCGCAGTACACATACATGTGCATGGGTCTTTATAGTAGAATGATTTTAAATACTTTGGGTATATACCCAGTAATGGATCATTATTTATGTTTTCTCAGTGGCAGTTGTCTCCTGATCTGTTGGCTTCACTATACTTGAGTAATAATAAAATCTACATTTTAAAATGCATGAGATGTTTTTAACGTATATTTGCCTTAGTTTCTTTCAGCAATGTTTTGTGGGTTTTTTGTGTTGAAATCTTTTGTCTCCATTGTTCTTTATTCCTAAGTATTATAGTCATTTCCATGCTATTGTGAATACGATTGTTTTCTTAATTTTCATCTTGGATTGTCTGTTGTTAGTATATAGAAATGCAAGTAATTTTTGTGTGTTTTTGTAGCCTACAATTTTGCTGAATTTATTTTTTGTGTGTAAGTATGGCTAGATCTTGTCATTTTCAGAGATATTTTTATTTCTTTCTTTCCAATTTGGATGGCTTTTATTTTTCTTGCCTACTTTTTCTGGCTAGAACTTAAATTTCTAGCCCATGGAAAAAGCAGGCATATT